GCAAGGATAGTCAAGGCATGTGTGACCAGCCTTTTTTTCTGCTGGATTCACTATGACTCATGGGATCTTACATCTGGACCACAGATAGTGGTTGTTGGGGGCTCAATTAAGAAATCCCTTAGGAATGGAAATGAATGACTCTGTTTCATTTCAATGCAGCTAGAGTCATCCAAATGAAAAAGAATTTCTCTGAGTAATCCTGACAATGAAACAGTAAAGCCAACAGACATTGTTGGACTTTCCTTGTTATCCTCTTGGTGTTTAACTTATGGCTACACAGGTGACACTCTCCTGCCACTCCCAAACATTCAGTGAGCAAATTTAAAACATCCCTATAACAGCACCTTGCAAACTACTGTGTGTTCACATTGCCTGGGTAAGCATTTTCAACATCTTCTTTTTGGATGAACTGTACTTGTATGATTTATTTTAGTCCTTTTCATAACAACTAACCGTGGTCCTCAGAGTTCACTTTGGTCATCTAACTTTGCACTTTTTTGTTTGAATTGAAGTGATGAAGAAACCTCAGTATGATTTGGTTGGTATTCAACTCAGGCATTGCAAATGCACGTGGTTTCCCAGGGAAGGCCCATGAATGGCTCCTGGGCACATCCACAATAGCGGTAAAAGAACATGGGGTGGTAAAGAACTGGAGGCCCAAGTTTTCGTCTCAGTTCTGTCAGTTCACTTTGCGATTGTTAGGCAAGTCATCTAATCTGTTCAGGGCTTCAGGTTCTCTATCTGTGAAGGGAAGGAGGCTGTTGAAACTGCGCTGGTTAACATCGGAAGTCATTATGGACCTATAGCTACTTATCTTTCAGATGTGTCTAGTGTGGCTAAGCAGATAACCTCTGACCTGACTTTTAAGTATTTCTGGATACATACCTAAATATAGATATCTGAATATACATTTTCCATGGTAAATTCCATGAACATCTAAATGTGGAATACGTATTTCTGATGAAAATGCAGTGTCTGAACTGGAGCGTGTTGCAGGTGTAAAATGCACAGCAGACTCCTATAATTTTTATATTGATTGTCAGGTGGAATAATTTCACTGCGATAAAGACAAAGAAAGGTGGAGAAAGTCTTAGGGAAACTATTGAGACCTGGTGTATTAGTTTCCTATTGCTTCTATAGCAAATGGCCACAAAGTTGGTGGCTCAAAACAATACAAATTTATTATTTTATAATTATTGAAGTCAGAAGTCCAAAATAGGTCTTACTAATAAGTCAATGTGTTCATTGGGGATATATTTCTTCTGAAGGCTCCAAAGGAGAATCTTCTTTGCCGGCAGCCTGTGATCTATGGTTTGTGGGCCCCTCCATCTTTAAATCCCACATGTAACATTTTCAAATCTCCAGCTCTGGCTTTGATATCCTGTCTCTCTTTTATAAGGATTCAAGTAGATTTGACTGGGCCCACCTGGATAATGGATCCAGCATAATCTTCCCATCTCAAAATTCTTAGTTACACCTGCAAAATCCCTTTCGTCATGTAAAATAAATATTCACAGGACAAGATATCTTTAGGGGGTCATTATTCAGGTGATATCAAAATGAAAATTGTGGGGTTGGTGTTGTTGAAGCCAGAAGAGGAGTGAGACAGTAGATGGAAGATCTCTCTCTCTCTCATTAGTGTGCCTTTCAAATAAATAAATAAATCCTTACAAAATGTACAAAACTGAAATATGGTCAACAGATTAAAGTTTTGAATTATTGTTGAATTTATTGAAACTGCCAATATACTATGGTTAGGCAAGATTAAAGAATTATCCTTTACTTAGGAAGTACACACTGAAGTATTTAGAAGTAAATGGTCATGATGTATATAAGTTACTCAAGAAGCTCAGAAAAACTAAACACCTATGCATGTAACAAAAGAAAGCGACTGATAAAGCAAATGATTAGGCCAGATATTAAAAATATAAGAATCTGGATTAGAGGATATATATGCGTGTTCTTTGCATATTGCTGCAACTTTTCTGTAAATTTGAAGTTATCACCAAATAAAAACTTAAAAGAAAATTGATGAGTATAGAATTTACTTCAAGTAAAAGGCAACAAATAAGTTTTTACTCCAATAAGCAACTTCAAGTTTATAGCACAAATTCAGCAACTCTGCTTGTTCTTTCTACAATAACGTGACTAGGGATGGAAAGGAGCAGTAATGTTTAGGTATTTTTTAAGACTCCTAACATCTGATGATATTATAGTTGTAAAGAGTTTAAAATAGGATTGGTGATTATCGTTGGATTTAAATGCTAACTGGTGGATCATACCCTGCTATTTGTGACTGAGAATCTGCTAGGTAATTTTGTAAGAAGGCCCTTAGAAAGGTAGACACCCCTTTTCAGCAGTGTGTAGTTGATTTCTAAAATACAGGCAAAAAAATAAACCGTATTCTGTTCTAGAACTCACTTCTGCCCAGTGCCTCAGGCAGAATTGTATTGCTTTGGCCCCAGGGAATCTTTCTGGCACCCATTCACCCTCCACCCTCTATTGTTTAAAGACAAAAGATAAGGCATCTGGAGCTCTGACCCCAGCACACAATCAGGCCTCTCTGCTCTTGGCAGGAACTAACATTTTAAAATGAAGGTAAGACCCCAATTTCTGCCCAAAGTTCCATGCTCTGGCTTGTTTTCCTTGCCAACCCTGGTGGCCACAAACGGTGCCTCCGCACTAGTTCCAGGATAGCGTGCCAAGACCAAGTAATAGCCGATTTTTTTCAATTACAGAAACAAGTACAAAATATGTGGCAATTCACTGGCTTTATTTGTCCAAGTCTGGCTTTGGTTATCACCAGCCAATACTGCACTCTATGATCAAACACAATCTGTGATTATACAAGCACAAATGATCTAGTTAGTGATTTTCAGGGTAACACTTACTTTTCAAAGAGCAGCAGGATTTCTTCCAGTAAGTTTGGCAATCAGCATCCTAAAGGCTCTGCAGTCAGGAGTAGGGGTGGGTCTTTATGACCTAGCACTTCCCTTCCAACACTTTCCCTCACCAGTTCACTCTCCACACTGTAAACCCAGGGTTAAGAGTCAGATAACCCAGGAGTTTCTTTTGAACACTCTCGCTTTTCAGTTGTATAACCTTGGGCAAAGTACGTCTAGCATTGTAAACCTTAGTGTGTCATTTGTAAAACAGGAATGCTGTTAGGAATGCTACCTTTGTCACAGGGTTTTTCTAAAGTGTCACCCAAAGGCCAGATAATATCCCCCCATTTAGTATTAAACTTTTTGAACAGAAGGCTCTTTCCTAATTGATGCATATTTTTTTTCTTAACAGCCCAGCAAAGTGCTGGCTCCATAGGTTTTCCTAGCCAAATAATTGCTGGCTGAGTGATCAAATGATTGGATTAATTAACCTTCAGGCTGCTATAATTTTATATTTCTATTCCCAGAGAACTCCCCCTAGCTCAATAGGATGAGCATTGACCTAGGCTTGTTGAAAACTGGTTCAACATGAAGATACATGTTCTAAGGAGTTCTAAGAACTGAGGGTAGTTCATGCTGAAATGCTAAGGAATGCAAAGAAACATTGACATTTTCTTGAAATTACAACTTTGTAGTCTTTGAAAGGCATCTTAAACACAAAAACACAGGACTGTGGTTAGATTGATATTCATTTTTTACTTATTGAGCCATAAAAGTTGCTCAAAATCTAGTACAAGGTACCATACGTAGAGGAAATGTGTAATAAGTATTTGGTAAATTATGGATAGGTTAGAATTGCAAGGAACAGAATAGCACAGATGGTTTTCAATTTACTCCAGGAAAAGGATTCAGTGGTGTAAGTAAATATGCATAGAACAACATGTCGAAAGGATGAAAAATATAAGAAAGTTGTAAGTGTTATACATCAACATAAATGTTGATCAACATAATGTTTATTTAGGTATTTATTTTAAAGGCAGAGAGACAGACACACAGAGCTACCATCTTCTGATTCACTTTCCACATACCCACAACAGCTAGGGATGGGTTCAAGGAGAAACCAGGAGTGGGAACTCAATCTGGGGCTCCCCTCTGGGGGACAAGAACCCAGTGACTGGAGCCATCACTGCTGCCTCCCAAGGTCTGCATTAGCAGGAAGCTGGAATCTGGAGCACAGCAGGGGCTCAAACCCAGGTGCCGGATGCACCTCAAACTGAGGTGCCTGATGCACACATCTTAGCCAGTGTCTTAACAGCTGGCTAAATGCTTCACCCAACATAAAGTTTCTAAGCACGCGAGCTATCTTAATTATGAGTGCACACCCTGTAGTAAAAGTATAAAGAGTACACAGGGCTACTGTGCGCTGTTGTGCTCTACATAGCTCCATAGGGTCTCCTAAAATATTAGAGTTCTCCTCATCACAAGCCCTGAAAACATGCATTGACATGGAAAATCCCACTTCAAATTCATTGTTACCACTAAGAAACAAAGTGGGGACTAATAAAGACAAAGAGGCGCTAAAGAGGCTTTACTTAATATTTATAAGGTTTCATTAGCAAAAACATCTGTTTGAAGCAAATATTAGACAACCTGACAGTTCTGGGATATACAGCAATATCTTATTCTATGTCTGAAATATTTCTTAATGTATGAATTCAGATATTATATAATGAGAAAAGCAGTTAAAAAGTTTTGGTTCCGGTAAGAGAGTAGTATTTATAATTGCAAGCACATAGTTTTATTGCAACATTCAAAGGGTCTATTAAGTATTTTGTGTTCTCAAATTAAATATATAAGAAAGAAATTTACTAAATCTTACTCTCGAGTATTTTCAGGGAGGATTCTCAAGAGCACAGTTGTAAGGCGCATTTGCTGAAACGTTTAGCGAGTACTTACAGAAAGAAAGTGATGCAAGCTAAACTCCTAAGATATCTTCTTCAAATAGTGACAATTAGCAAGCTCCTGAAAGGCAGGTTATTTCCTATCTCAGTACCAATGATCCCATTTCTTATGTCAGCTACTAAAATGAAAATCAGAAATATATCATTTACATACCAAAATGTCCATCCCGGGGACATAGTTGAGGGTTATCATATAGTCTTTTGGAAGATTTGCCACCTACAAAAGTAGAGAAAAAAAGAAAAAAATTCCTTAAGAAAAATGATACTCATCAGTTAATCATATTTTTAGTTGTGTGGAGAAAAACAGATACAAACTTGTTAGATTTTCTTGTTAGCACTGGATAGAGATATATTCCATCCTCAATTTCCCTTTGTAATAAAACTAAATGATGATACAAATATTCCAGACTCCAAATTCATAAATGAGTAGCTAGATGTAACCCACTAAATTTTGAAACAAAATATGAATCTCAGTTTCTATCTCTGGTCCTAGAATTCCTCTCCAAGACTATTTTCTTCTCTCTCTTTTTTTTTTTTACAGGCAGAGTGGACAGTGAGAGAGAGAGAGACAGAGAGAAAGGTCTTCCTTTGCCGTTGGTTCACCCTCCAATGGCCACCTCGGCCGGCGCACTGCAGCCAGCGCACCGCGCTGATCCGATGGCAGGAGCCAGGAGCCAGGTGCTTTTTCCTGGTCTCCCATGGGGTGCAGGGCCCAAGCACTTGGGCCATCCTCCATTGCACTCCCGGGCCACAGCAGAGAGCTGGCCTGGAAGAGGAGCAACCGGGACAGAATCCGGCGCCCCGACCGGGACTAGAACCCGGTGTGCCGGCGCCGCAAGGCGGAGGATTAGCCTCGTGAGCCGCGGCGCCGGCGCTCCAAGACTATTTTCTAACCTGCTCCTCCACAGGATTAGGAGTAAAGTATGCTTTTCTTGTCAGTGATTTTCAAAGGGTGTACCTCAAAATTACATGTCAGAAACAATATGGAATCTGGCAGAAATGTGAATTCTCAGGCCATACCAGATACACTGAGTCTTACTTGTCAAGTCCTCTCAAGTTTGAGAATTGCTGATCTATGTGGATGCCCAACAAATTTGTAAAGCACAATATCATTTATAAGATGCAGGTGCTTTATCACTTAGATATTTTAGAAAGATTGGTTCAGCACCGTAACTTAATCCACTTACCTTGGACTGAACATCTGAGATGCTTATCTAGCATCTACCTAGATTTGTCAATCTTATTTTACAGGCTTTAAAAAATGTCTAACATATTTACATTAGTCGTGGTATGTGTGAATAAGCAACAGATTTGGAACCAAGGAATTTGGAACAAATCTATACTCTTTTTGTTCCACTGTTTCCTTCAGTTGTAAAATGGAAATTCAAGTTCCTACATCAAGCAATCAGTCATTGATAAGTTGAGATAAGTGAACGTGTAAATGCCTTGTAAATATTCAATCCATGTTCTTTATTGAGAGCTATATAAGCAAATGACTTTGGGAGCATAAAACCCTGGTAAGTTACAGAGTTCCAGGTTCTCTTATCTCTCTATCCCTACCCTTCTCTTATAGCACTGTAAAAGTTTTCAGTTGAATAATATAGCCAACGATTTACAATGCAAAAAAAAAAAAAAGTGGTTTAGCACCATTCCATTTCCAATGGGTCTACCTTGCTTTGGAGAATATTTTCCCCTTTCTCTGTCTTTAAAAACTTTATTTTCCCAATTGGAAGCTGAGATCATGGCATGTTTGCTAGACCAGCTCCTCTCCCAGAAGTCTCCCAAAATATAAGCCAAGTACTTTTTCTTGGTCTTGCCAATAGCTCTCAGAATCTGAGAACAACCTGATTAGAATATGGGCAAAGGCACAAGTAGTCAACGGGGAGCCACGGTAGGCATGGGTCCCACTGTGCTCACTGCCATCATTCTTTCAGTGGTACTACCTCAGGCTCTTCTCAGCCTTGAGTTGGGGCATCTAGTCTGGCTGTCCCTTATTCAGTTTACTTGATCATAAAACAGTATCAGTGTGTAACTCTTAACCAAATATTTACTATATGTCCAGCACTATGCTCACTAAGGCTTAAGTTGCTTTATAACATCCAGTCCTTAGATGCTGCTGATGCATTCTACTGAACAGGTTAAAAAGAAATAGAGGCTCAAAGAGGCCAAGTAATCTGACTTGACTAAAGGCCACCATGTGTTAAGTCCCCCTGGATACACATCTGGGGTATTTCCCACTTATGAGTCTGCACCATCACCTCCTCATGCTATAAAACTTTCTGCAGTGATGAAAAGTTTATAAGGATACTATGAAATTTGGAAATCCATGACTTGTTTTTTCATAATATACATTTTCCATGAACTTTTTGAGAATCCCTCATATGCATTGATTTCAGACATTTCTGTACCCAAATAAACATCTTTTCATTCCATTTTCCCATGAACATTTTGAAGTACCATCATTTAAAAATGCAAATCAGGATCAATTGAATTAATATTTACTTATTTAAAGATTTATTTTATTTATTTGAAAGGCAGAAATACAGAGAGAGGAGAGAGAGGGTGAGAGAGAGAAATGTTCCATCTGCTGGTCCACTCTGTAGCCTGGAACCAGGAGCTTCTTCCAGGTCTCCCATGTGGGTGCAAAAGTCCGAGGACTTGAGCCATGTTCTGCTGCTTTCCCAGGCACATTAGCAGGGAGCTGGATCTGAAGTGGAGCAGCCGGAACTCAAACTGGTGGCCACATGGGATGCCAGAACTGCAGGCAGAGGCTTAGCCTTCTACGCTAAAGAGCCAGCCCCTTGAATTGATATTTATAAAATACAGGCGTATATATCTAAAAAGCAGGATTATGTAAGGGGTATGATATCTAATTCCATTTTATAAGCAATTTATAGACAAAAAGTTCGTTTAAAAAAATCAAAGAAATGTACAAGAAGACCTTTGACAATAACACTGAAATTCCTACACAGTGCCACTTAAGGGTTGTATTGTTGCATTAAACTGATTTACAGATATTTAATTTCTGGTGGGGCTGAGAAATAATACTCTTTTTGAAAAATGCTTTACAACTTATAACACATTTTAATGTATAGTCTCTACTGAAACCCCATGAGGTATATCTTCCTAGTCCTATTTTACAAATGAGCACAAGGAGGCTAGAAGCTAACTAGTGCCTGCACGGGTACAGGCATCAGGAATAACTGGTAGGAGTAGGATGCAATCTCAGGCTCATCTACACCGAAGTTCTCCTTTCTTTCTTGCTTTGTTTTAATTGGTTCCTTTCCAAATACACTTGGAAGAGAACCTGGGAAGTCAAGTTATAGGTATTTATGGTCACTATGTGAATTATTGTATTATCTTCCTAAGTGCTTATAGTATGTTGAATACTATTCAGAAAGCACAAATAACCTTGAGGTAGATTTCATTCTCTGATGTATATTGATCATTGCAGAAAGTTTTATAGAGTAGAGGAACCTTGGGCTTAATTCTTGGAAGATGTTCTTTAGTAATTAAGTTTCAGGTAGGGGCCAACAGCATAGTTTCTGGAGACAGACTGTTAGTCCTCTGCTAACTCAGAGGACTTGGGCAAGTTACTTCAACTACTTTAGCTTCAATTTCCACATGTATAAGATGGGAAATATAATCTAACTAGAGGATTTAGAGAGATGAAATAACACATGTAAAATACTAAATGCTCAGCTGTGGTGTTGAATGGCCATGAATTTCTATTACTATTAAATTCAAGAGAGTGGGACATTCTAAATGGAGAATGGTCACACACAAAGGCAAATAAATAAGAAAGTTCATTGTGTTTTAAGAAGAACAGATAAGAGGCAAGAAACATGTCAGAAAAGTCAAAGTAAAGCAAAGGAGATCCAAGGGGAAGTCATGGTATGGGGTAAGGGACACTTCTCCCACCAGAACCCTACAGGAAATTACTTTTGCTTTAAATTCATCATATCAGTTCTGTGAAACATCTACTCCTTGTATGCAAAATAAAGACAGTGAACTAGATAATTACCTAAAACTCAGTCTGGTTGGACTTTCTCATATAAGCAGTAGGGCAACACTGATTGTGTTTAAGCAGGAAAAAAATGTGATGGCAAGGTTAGGAAAATTATTCTAGAAGGATAGATTGGAGCAAAGAAAAAAGAGAGACAGGGCGATGATTAGAAGAGCATTAGAAAGGTGATGCATATGTGTTAACTATTCACACAGACACTGGAAACTAGCAAGTCAAGAACCTGGTCTAGATTTCAGTGAGGTATCCTGATAGAAGAGTTAAATGGGTAAGTAACTAAGACTGCATATTTTAAAATCAAATCTATTCTACTAAACTAAGTTCAGGGTAGAAAAAAATGGAATCTAATTCACAGGAAATTGTACCAAAGACTAAATAAATCATTCCAGTGAGCTTTGATTTGCAGTGCAGAAGGTTGTAAAATTTAAAAAAGTACAAAAACAAGTTATTTGATTATGAGCTAACTTTACCAGATGGGCTCTGTTTGCTATCTTCTTTGGATGTTCTCAGGATTGGCCACATTCAGTGATACAAGAACAAAATGCATAAGACAACAACATTCGGAAACACTGGAAACTCAGCCAAGAAAAAGTCTCTGCAAACCAGACTGGCACTGGCTGCACACCATATCCTGCAGGTACTTGGACTCAGGAGGAAAAGAACTCAAAGTCAGAACACTTAACTCCCTCTCTGGAACACTGATCTAAAATCTTTGGAACTCATGGTGCGAATATCACTGAAGTTCCTGTTTCATGAAATAAACAATGACTTGATATTTGCAGCAAGACCCTTAATATTCTCAGTTATCTCCCAACTCCAGGGGAGCCATCAAAATACAGTACTGACTCATGAATCTTCTGACAGCCAATATAAAATGTTGTGCATTATTTGAACCTTTCCATGGAAAGAGTCCATAGTTTCCATTCTCATCAGATCTAGTCAAGTTTAAGAATCATGGTTGTAGAGGAAAAAATGTTCCAAACTTGTCTACATACCATATAAAAGGTGATCAAGAAGTTTATGGAAAATGTGTATTATAAAAAAAAAAATGCTGGGTATAAAAAAAAACATTGTGGTGTAGCGGGTAAAGTTGCTGCCTGTGATGCCATCCCATATTAGTGCCGGTTCAAGACCTGGCTACTCCACTTCTGATCCAGCTCCCTGCTAATATGCCTGGGAAAGCAGTGGAGGAT